CCTGCTTCAAATGTATAAAATAAACCTCTGCTGAAGGCAGAGCAGGTAGATTTGCACCCAACTCCAACTCCCATGTGTCTTCCTCACTCCCGCTCCTCTCCCCCTCTTGGAATCTCTGCATGCCAATGCCTTCCCATCTTAGGGTCCTGCCTGTGTTGCCTCCAGACACCTCAAAAGTTGGAGCTAGTCTTCGACACCCTTCACCTTCTGTTTACTTTAATTGGGGCACCAATTTTGTCCTATTGGGAATTGTCTGCTGCTACTCCCTATTAATTGCCTTTGCGGGAGAATACAAAATTTAGCATCCCTTTGGGGTCATGTTGGTGATGTCACTCGGAGGAATATTTTAAAAAGCAAAAGTATGTAATATCAAACAAAGCCATAATAAGTATAATAAATATGTACAAAAAATTTACACAGGTGTTAAAATATTAGAATACCTGGGCCCTCCCTGATGGCGCAACGGGTTAGGACACAGCACTGCAAGCTTATACGAGTTTGATCCTCAGTCCCACATGGCGCGGCAGACCTCTCCTGACCTGCCCGTTGCTCCCCTTAACAGCCGACTTAGTTGATCTGCCTGTCCTGCTCCTCACTCTGTCTCTGGTGAATTCTCTCACTGTTCCTGCACCTCTGGACTCTATACCAGTTCTGTATGCATAAATAAATCTTTAGGGGAAAAAATATGAGAATATCTTAACATAAAAAAGGTCTTTCTACACAAGTTTCTCAATACACTGGCCACAGGTGATCACCTTATGCATAAGTGAGTAAACATTATCAAAGTGTAATATTACTGGAGTTTAGAGAACTCACATTAAAATACTGTGATTGTAATGGAGAAAAGCCTCTAATCCAGAACCCCACTTTCACTGGAATATGTAATCCATAGTGGAGAGAAATAATTTGAGGTAAATGAACGTGAAAACCTATAAATATAGCCTAGATCTTATTCTACACCAAAAGAATGTTATTTTTAGGTGAAATCCTATTAATTTATCTAAATGTAAAACATATTATACACCAAAGAATCTGCATAAAAAATCTCTGTTTTATGGAGTGTGGCTGGTTGATCTCCTAAATCTGTTCCACATACAAAATGGTAGAGAATTCATGCTTACATTTTGAAGGAAACATTTCAGTAAATTTTGGGAGAGATATTTTGAGATCCATTTTTTTATTTCACTTTATTTTCATACCACTAACTCTATACAAACAGATCTGATTTTCTCAAGTTACAGGGTCATTTAAGAGAATATACATGAGAAGGTGTCCAGACCTCAGGGGAAATAAACTCTAAGGAAAAGACCTTGACACACATAACTTCTTAGAGGTATAGCCCAGCTTCTGCATTTTCTGGCATCTTCTCTCAAAGTTTCTGTGACAAAAGGATATTCACCAAAGTCCAACTTACTCAGTTCAGTACACTTACAGATCTTCTGAGGAAACTGTTCCTCTCTACCCTCAAGCCTAGATTTTCTTCTAGGATCTCAGCACTCTTAGTGCTATATACCCTTGGATTATGGTGGCAGGTCAAAGGGTAGAAATTAGAAATCTCACTCAGATTAGACCAAGCCCAAACCAGAGAGTGTAATTTTAGTTCCTTTACAGAGTATGATCCCCTTATTAGTTGTTTCTCAGCATGAGTTAGAAGTTCAGTCTGCAGAGAAGAACTGTGGAACCAGTATACATAGAAAATCAGTCGGGGAAATATGGCATGAGCCTCAGATCTCTGCAGACCAACCCTGTTTTGCTATGGCCTTTGTGGACTCCCTGCCTCTGGCTGTTCACCGTAGACCTCAACTCTTCCAGCTCCATCCTCCACTTGCTACTTGGAGGCCTCTTTGTCCTCACCCTTCTATGGGGCTGCCACTGTGGGGGTCTTGACACTCCGCTTCTTCTTCTGCACGTTCTGCGCCGGACGGAACAGGATGATGTAGGTTTTGGGTACATAAAGCATGCCAAGGGACACCGATGCACTCAGGCTCAAGGAAACAGTCAGTGTGGTGGTTTGGATATAGATCTGAGTTGTGGAGATAAGGATCAGTTGGGACTCACCCCTGTCTTTTCCACCGCCCAGCCCCATGTTGACTGCAGGTGAATCTAATTCATGGGTAAATGGGAATGAGCATACAAAAGGACATAAGCAAAGGCCTTTGTCAGGAAGAAGTATTAGCCACAGTATGGCCCTGATGTATTGGGTTATCTGAAAAGTCCTGATACATTTTTGCTTGAAAGAAATTAAAAAGTAACATGATTTTTCTGACAACCCAAGAGGTAGGAAGGAGGGTGAGTGATATGGGACACATTGGACAAGTGACTGAAGGAAGTGAGGGGGGGGGCCCTTCACAGAGTGTGATACCTAAGGAAATAGTCCTAAAAAAGGTTCATGCATGTTAATGAATGAATTAACATGTTTTCAAATGTACAAGCAAGTGAATGAACTAAGATTGAATAAAGGAGTGAATAGGCAAACAAATGGATAATAGGGCTGAATAAACAAATGTCCTACTATATACATAATAACTAAATAATGGTCAAGAAAATGGACTGATAGATTAACGGGTTGACAGATATAAAAGTAATTGGATCAATGGTTTGAAGCACTGATGAACAAAAGAAGGGTATGAACATGCACAGCTGAGGGAAATTGGAAAGAAAATTGAGAGAACAAGTATTTAAATGCATGAATAAATCAACAAAACAAGAAATTATCCAAATGGGCAGACCTAGCTCTTGGAACAATTGAGCCCTTCTGTGGACAGACAGTAAACACACTGGGTAGTGAAGCCTTAAGTTACCTTTTCAGCTGACTGAGCAGTGCCAAAGAAGATAGGCACAAAAGCCAGCCAGACAATGCAGGTGGTATACATGGTGAAGCCAATGGGCTTGGCTTCGTTGAAGGTTTCAGGCACATCTCGGGTCTTGATGGCATACACTGTGCATGTGACCATAAGCAGGAGGCTGTAGCACAGGCAGCCGATAAGGGACAGATCTGACATGTCACACTTGAGCACCCCTCTGGCCTGCTCTGGGTCCACTGTCCGCTGTTCTTCATAGTCAATCACACTGTGGGGGGGCTGGGCCCCCAGCCAAGCTGTTACACCCACCACCTGCAGAAGGCAAAACAATATTACAGTTTATAGTAAAACCCTGAGTGTTGCTTTTTACTTTGGCCGTATAAGTGTACGATCAAGCTTTTATGCCAAGACATCCACTTCAAAGAGGTCTAACTCAAACACAGGCAGTCACACTGCTAGATAAGACCCAGGCTGCTGCTCCCACTGAGCCTTCTTTATTCTACATTTTCTGGTTATTTAGAGAACTTTTCGGTGAAGACTAACTTGTGTTTCTTTTTCTTCTTTTCTTTTTTGTCTCTCTTCCTGCTGTGCTTTAAATTTCCCATTCTGATCAGTTATATTCACCAAAAAAAGTATGATCATGTGAGATCCTAGACCCTCATCCTAAATAGGGGAAGACACCAGGTCTGTGCCCTCTCTCTTCCTGTTCAACCTCAATGTGGCCCAGGTATGCTGAGTAATGTCTTGTAATTTCCAGGTCTCTGGTGGTTGTTCCCTCCCACCAAAGTTTTCTGAAAGTTATTGCTGATGGCATCTTGCAGTCATAATGAAAACCCCAAGGGCCTCCACTTGTAATATTGGCTTAAAAGTTAAAATAACTCCATGGGAAATTCATCAGGCCTCAGGTGAGTGCCCCAGCTAGTTCTAGCCAATAGCATTATTATCATTATGCCCAATGCACACAAGGAAATACCCAGCCCAATGCTCCCCAGCAGAGCTCTCTGACTGGTTAAAGACCCTAGGGCTCTTGACCAATTAGTGGGATGCTCAGGTCTAAGATTCACATTATAGAAAGGAAGGAATTCCAAGAGATGAGTGTGTGGGCAAAGAGCTGTGGCAGAATGGCATTAGAGGTATGTGCTGACAATAGCACACCTGGTTGGTTAAGGGGCCCTGGATGTTCTCTTCATGTATGCCAACCATTACCAGCATCACTTCCTGAGTTTTGCAAGGCACAATGACATGCAGAGATTCTAGAATTGTAATCCTAAATGCCTCCATTCCATCTATACAGTGGGAACCCTCATCACTCATGATCTATGTGTGAGTTGTAGGCTAAGTGGTCATCAGGCTTTTGTGCCATTGGCCTCTGTGACTATCACAGCTGCCTTGAATGCAGAAAGCACTTGAGAGTGTGCCTCATGGTGGACATCTGGAATATGGTGTGGGTATGTATGAGTGTGAACACCTGAGCCTAGAGGTGATAAGGACAGCATCACACAGAGAACAGTGTGGTGTGCCCGGCAGAGAGCAACAGAAAGATCATGAGAGAACATCAGAGCAAGCAGAGAGAGTAAAGATTTGCCTCCTGCCTCCATGCCCCCCCCCACCTGCTCTGCACCTGGTTGCCTCACTACAAATAGTGTAGAAAGATCATCAAAAGCCTGAAAAAACCATTGAGGACTCCTTTACCTGTCTCCCAAATTGATGGAGAACCTTCCCTCTGTGTTGATGGCACTACAGAATACACTGCTGGCTTTGGGAAGGACCTGTTGCATGTTCCACCAATTCAAGGCTGGACCCATCAGAGATGTTCTCTGTTACAGTCCTCCAGGAGCATAGTATTATCTCCATTCTGTAGATGTGAAACATACTTTGATCCCATCCAGCAATACAGCAAACCTACTTTCTGAGGACCTGGACGTTATCAGAGGTGGATGTAAGCCCTTACAGGGAGGAAGTGGAAGCTCAGTTCCCTCACGGAAACAGGACCTTGACCACCCTTGACCAAACAAAACTTATTTTGAGACAAGGAAAGCTGAGGAGCCGACATAAAGACATCCATACAAAGGCAAAAGGGCTGCCCTCTATATTTGTGCAGATCACTCACTGCCCAGAAGTACCTAATTAGGGGTGGGAGGACCAAGTAGATTTGAAATCTACACAACACTCTACTGCCATGATGTGTACTTGGAGCAGAGTTGTGCGATCCTGGAGAAAAGGATATTTTTTAATAATGCATATTCAGGAACACCTAGTTATTTAATAATGAGTATCTCCCAAAGCCAGCAGCACCATGGCAAGGGACTAATAAAATATATTCCCACCCACTGCCCAGAAAGCAACATGGAGGATCCTCTTAGCACAAAGTTCTAATTGTGGGAAATATGGTCTCCTATGAAAAACTAAAACCCAAGGTCTGTGATATATGGGAATAACAACTAATATGTACACCACTGATTTCACAACCAATGTACAATTGACCTTTGACAATGAAATTCAAAATTCCAAGTGTAACTTTGACTTCCCACTATCTTCACTCTAGGCATTTCTTGGTATCCTCTAGGGATTAGTTTTAGGACTCCCTAGGATACCAAAATCCCCAGAACTCAAGTCCCTCAAAATTCGCCCTCAGTATTTATGAGTTTTAAATGTGAGGATTCAGCCAACTGACATCCACAGTTGGTTGAATAGGAACCCCAGGAAATGTAAAAATCTCCTGCTTCAAGTGGATTCCAGCAGTTCAAACCCATATTGTTCAAGGGTCAACTGTGATTGATAAATATTTAGCATCCAGTACTTCTAATGAATGTAAGGGCTTACATCCACCTCTGATAACATCCAGGTCCTCAGAAAGTAGGTTTGCTGTGTTGCTGGATGGGATCAAAGTAGTGTTTCACATCTATAGAATGGAGATAATACTATGCTCCCGGAGGACTGTAGCAGAGAACATCTCTGATGGGTCCAGCCTAAAAAATAACATAAAATGAGCAAAGGATAGGAACAGGCACATCATAGTAAGAGGAAACTCCAAAAGTCAGCTACACTTGGAATCAACTAGAGTAGATTAAAACAACAATGAGATATCATTTCATATCTATGACATTGGTAAATCAAGTAAAGTTAAGGATGTGATATATAGATATATGTGATATATAGAAAGGGGGGTGAAGAGTAATAACACAGCTTTGAAAACAATTCCTGTGTTCTGGAACACACTGAATGTTTTCTTTGCAAAAGTGGGGGGGGGCGACTAAGACACTCTAAAGGACATAAGTAAACCTGGAGAGTCCATAAGTAAACCTGGAGGGGCATCTAATCATTTCTACACTGGGGTGAAGGGCTACCACAGGAGCTTCAGACAGAGAAGCAGTGAGGTTCATTCTCAAAATGCATTGGGCACTGAAATTCTGGGCCTTAAATGGGAAGGTCAGGTCCTGCTAGTTGCCGAAAGTTGGCAATGACTTCCAATCATGGAGGACTGCATGGTTCAAGGCCCATGGGTGGGAATCACATGGCATATGCAAAATTGGGTAGGGAGAGGGACTGGACTGGAGTGGAGTGCATATGAGCTCAAAAGGCATTGAGTAAGGGTTGATTCTGAGAACTAGGCTGGTTCTGCAATATGACACAATGTCAATCACATGCATGCACACACACACACACATGCACACCACACAAACACCCCTGTCCTTTAGAGTGTCTTAGTCACCCCCCCTCCCACTTTTGCAAAGAAAACATTCAGTGTGTTCCAGAACACAGGAATTGTTTTCAAAGCTGTGGTGTTACTGTCTTTGAGAAAATCCAAAGGAACTCTGTAACTCTGCTTTTGCTGCTTGTACATCTTGAAGTTCTGACCATCTGTAGAAATGATGCTCCCCTCCAGAGTGAGATGGTCTATCCTTGTTTCATGCTTCTAATCCAGGTTAACCAGTGAACTGGGCAGTGGTTAATCCATTATGGTGTTGAAAATGATATTCAGGGAAGACTAAACAATACAATCCTGTGTCAAAGTTCCATCTTACTGAACTGTGAATACTTTCAGAAAGCTATTTATTGATTGGAGAGACCTGGTGTCCAGCAAGACAACAGCCTTCTCCAAGAACTGAAAAGAAATGTTCTTTTTCTTCCTTCTTCATAGTCATCAAGGTCAACTTGACTAAAATCCAAAGGACTCTGAAGAACATAACCTATAATAAATCCTATTTTTTGGTCCACAATTTCTACAAGCCTATTCTTCCCACTCTTTTTTTTTTTTTTCTTGGCCCTTTAAAAGTCCTTTAACTATAGGTTGCAGCAGAGCACATTTTGGGCTGGTACCTGAGATTATGCTTTTCAATTTGAAAATCTAAGCCCTCCTTCTTTCCCAATAAAAAGTTATTTTATTTTAGCTTCATCATGTTTTTCTCAGTTGACTACAAAAATAGATTCTTTGCTTGAGGAATATTCCTCAGATATCTCTATGCTCCATTTTTCACACAGGAATAAAATGGTGGAAGAGCATGCTCATTTTATAAAAATAAGTCTGTTTTACAGAGTAATAGCTGAATGTTCATGCTCCCCCTCACTGACCCATTTTCCTTCAAGAATGGAACAAGGAAAATGGCTGGTATTAATAAGTTTTCAGTATAAAAGTCAAAATAGAGAAAAGTGACACTTGATTTTTTTAAGTAGAAGTCAACCCCACCACACCACCCCAGCTCTGATCACCATGGGAGTCTGAGGACCCACCTGCACAGAGGTGAGGCTGAAGGTGATAATTAGCTGTGAAGTGGGGCTGATGAAAGGTGGAGGCATAACTGAGCGTTTCCCCTGCTCAAAGATACGGTAGATACGGTTGGTCTTGGTGAGCAAGGCAGAGTAGCTGAGGGTGGTGCCCAGGCCCAGGAATAGTCTTCGGGCAGCGCAGACAGCAACTCCAGGTTCAGCCACCATGAGGAAGGTGATAGCATAGATGAGGAAAATACCAGTGAGCAGGACATAACTGAGTTCACGGCCAGAGGCCCGGACAATTGGTGTATTATTGTGCCGCACAAAGGTTGTCAGCACTGTGGTGGTAGCCATGATGCCCAGCACAGACAGGAGGAGAGGTGGGACTGCCCAGGGTGAGGACCAGGTCAGGCGGACCACTGGCATGGGGCGGCAGCCTGTGTGGTTGTGTGTGGGCCTCATGTGCCCAGGACAGGTCTCACATGTGAACTCATCCACCTGGAAATGATACCCATCACAAGCCTCACAGTGCCAACAGCATGGAACGCCCTTCACCATCTTTTTCCTTTGACCGGGTCCACAGGGGAGACTGCATAGAGATGGAGGCACCAGTTGGGGGTCTCCCAACCATTGTAGAGCTTCCACCTAGGACACAGGGAACATGGATCAGTGAACTCAGTCTCCAGGCTTTGGCCAGCTTCTCTGCACCCAGAGCTTAGATTGTGCCACTCACATCCAACTTGAGTGTCTCTGCCCATTGGCCCACTGTCTGGTAACCACCATTGGCCTCACTGCTGTTGGATGCCTTGTACTGGAAGATGTCATATCGTCCAGGTGCATCTCCATTCTCGTTGAACATCACAGGGGTTCCTGCACTTCCTGGAAAAAGACTCTTGCTCACCCACTTCTCCATTCCTGTAGAGCCAGGCAGCTGGAGAGGCTGAAGGCCCAGTCAGGATAAAGGAAAAGCTTAACTACATGCAAAGATATCCAACAAGATAAGATCCCATACCCATCTCAGAGAGAGGGCCAGAGTGCCCAGAGACCTTGTGACTTCTGTAAGAGAACCCACTGCTACCACCTGCCCATCTCAACCCAAACCATCAGAGGTTGACTTACTGTAAGAACCAATAGTGTCCACCTGGACCAGACCCAGACAATGCCTACTCACACAAGCAGAAGCCTTGCAAACTATTATGGGATGCTGTCAATGCCTGCTTGCATTTACAAGGTCCCCATGACTTCCCACAAGGTCTTTGCCAACACCTGTACAGAATGGTGAGACCCAGGATACAAGTAAGAGAGTAAGCCACAGTAGCCAGAAGTCACACAACATCCTGTGAGACCCACCAGCAGCTTGTTCCAACAGATGACTACCAGCCCAGCAGCATGGAAACCCATCTGGACAATACACAACAGGATAAGCACAGCCAAAGTTCCCACTTATTGGCACAAACCACAGGATGGCCCACATTGCACCTCAGTAAACACCTAGAATAGAGGATGAGGCATACCAACAGAATTCCCACCTATAGCAGAGCAAACCTAAAAGCAAACAATGGGAAGAAGGAAAAATGTAAATGATTAAACAAGCCTTCAGTGGAACAATGCACCACAGAAAGAAAATTAATTTCCAGAACCCAACAATACTGACACAGAAGAATTGTTCTTCCTGTCAGTTATTCATTTAAAAATGAAAAATTCAAAGGCCATAATTAAGAAAGTGAGAGAATCTGAACAACCCAAACAAAACTGGAAACATATCAGAGATATATGAATAGATACAGAAAAGGAAAAGGATATTTTGAGGAATATAAACAAAAAACAGAAAAATGAGATTGAAACTTAAATAATAAAACAAAGGAATTGTAGGATATAAAAAGGCCAAATGCAGAGGTAAAAAATTGACAAAAGCATGGACATAGAATAAAAGATTAGGAAGAGAGAATCAGTAACCTCAAAGACACAAACACAAAAAGAAACAAGAAAGAAAATAAAACAGATACCCAGGGAAAAAATGAAGAAACACTTCAAGAATTATTTGACACCATGAAGAATAGAGTAATTCCAAAAGGAAAATAGTGAGAGAGCAGGGCCCTGAAATGCTGCTTGAGGAAAATAACTGAAGAGGAAATAAAGGAAATGAAAATAGACATATAGAAAGCCAAAAAGGACACCAAACTATTTTAATGAAAAGACATACACAGCAAAACACATAAAAACTTCCAAGAGTCCAAGACAAAGAAAAAATAATGAAACTGAGGCAGGGGAAGAAACAACCTATAAAAAAACTGATTAGGCTAACATCAGACTTCTCTGAAGAAACATTTACATGCAATATAAAATGTAGTGATATATTTAAAAACTCCAAGACAAAAAATGCCAGCCAAGATACTTTATCCTGCAAAGTATCTCCTTCCCTCATGAGGGAACAATAAGGACCTTCTCACACAAAATCTTCAGAAATTCACTACAACTAAATCCCCAGTCCAAGTAATATTACAAAAAGCCTTTGGATCTAAACCAACAGAGGAATGAACATGACTAACTAAACAAAGAATTAAAGAGACCCACAAAATGATGAACAAATGGCAGTAACAAACTATGTGTCAATAATCACCCTACATGATAAAAACACATTGAATAATATGTTGGAATAAAGAACAGAATCCAACATTGTGATGCCTCCAGGAAACACAATTTTGTTGGAAAACAATTCTACAAACAAATGGCTGCCCTCAAAAGGCAGAAACAGCCATAATTTTATAAGGTAAAATAGATTTCCAGCTAAAAAAGGTGACAAGAGACACGAATGGACACTATATAATGATCAAGAGGAAAATACACCAGGAAGACACAACGCTCATCAATGTATACTCACCAAATGATGGAGCACCATAATACATTAGAACATTACTATGATATGAGATAAATACATATGCGATAGGAGCCTTCAACTCCCCAATCTCACCAATAGACAGATCAACAAGACAAAAAATAAACAAGGACACAGTAGCCCTAAACAAAGGTCTAGACCACAAGCATTAGCCTAACAAACATGTATAGGTCACCTTATATGCCCAAAACTGAATACACATTTTCCTCAAATGTATACTGATCATTCTCCAGAACTGACCCTATACACATCAACAAGTACATTAAGACCTAAACCATACTAAGTATCTTCTATGGCCATAAAGGTATCAAAGTAGAAATTAAAAAGAAAGCAAGGGGATCCCCCTTTATGCATGGACTTTGAAATTCTATTGAAAGACTACTAGGCTAATGAGAAAATCAAAGAAGAAATTTAAAAATACCTTGAGATAAATGGTAATGAAGACACAACCTATCCAAAAGTATAGGACACAGCAAATGCAGTACTGAGAGGAAAGTTTTGGGTCTGCTAAGCTTAAAGTTCTGCTTAAGCTGCCATTCTGATTATGCTATTAGGCTTTTCCAATACAAAGTTCATTTGACCAAATCAATCAATCACCAAAATTAAAGAATGCAAACTACCCACCCTGCAAAGGTTCCTCTCAAACTTAACAGCAGCAGGATGCTTAATCCCCTGGGACAATGGTGTACACCAGGAGCATGACCAGGAATGCTGGGGGAGCCATAGATTGATATATAACTTTGTATCCCAGAGACTGATCAGCCTTGCTAATAAGATTAAAACCTCTACTGGGGATCAAAATCTTGATTTTTATCTTCAAACATGAGCCATAAAACTAATCCATATGCTCAGACTCACCTTGCCAAAAAGCATAGGTACCCTACACATAACATTTTTCTCTTTGTTTTCCTGTTCTGAGTAATTGACACTGTGAAATCATTCAATTGATAAAAAGACCAGGTTTTGCCTTCTTAGTAGCATCCTACCATAACAGCTGGCTCCACAACTCCCATTTCTTTGATAGTGGTGTTGCCTGACCTAGCAGAAAGCACATAGAACATTGGCTACATCAAGAAATTATGGAGAAGCCAAAGAAATAACCTAATCTCCGATCTCATCTCAAAGAAGCAGAAAATGAATAACAAAACACCCCCAAAATCCATCCAAAAAGGCAAAAAACAAAAATTAAAGCAGAAATAAGTGAAATAGGAATTAAAAAGACAAGTCAAAAGATCAATAAAACCCAAAATTGGTTTTTAGAAAAATAAGCAAAATACACAAACCATTAGCCAGGCTCACCAAGAAAAAGAGGGAGAAAACTTAAGTAAATAAGATATAGGACCAAAAATGAAAGAGGATAAATTTAGAACAGACACAGCAGAAATTCAGTGGATAATTAGCAATCATTATGGATATTTATATACAAAGAAGTTAACGATTAAGATGCAATAGACAAATTCTTGGTATTATTCAACTAGGTTGAACAAAAAAGAAAAAAACTTGAACAGGTCCCTCCCTGGTGGCACAATGGGTTAGGATGCAGCACTGCAAGCTAGCCGCAGCTGCTTCAGTGTGAGTTCAATCCCCTGCCCCAGAGGTGATCCACAGGACACAGCAGACCTCTCCTGACCCGCCCTCAGCAGTGTACTTTGTCAATCTGCCTGTTCTGCGCCCCAATCTGTGTCTCTGGTGAAGGATCTCACCGCCTCTGAACTTCTAGCTTGTACCCCAGTTCTGTATGAATAAATAAATAAATCTTTAAAAAAAAAAAAACTTGAGGGGCCCTCCCTGGTGGCTCAGCGGGTTAAAGCGCTGCACTGAGAGGCTAAAGTCACTTCCGCATGAGTTCGATTCCTGCCTGCCCCAGAGGAGGAGATCCACATGGCGAGGCAGACCTCTCCTGACCCGCCCGCTGCTCCCCTCAGCAGTGTACTTCGTCCATCTGCCTGTTCTGCTCCCCACTCTGTCTTTGGTGAATCCTTTCACCCTCCACATCTCTGGCCTGTACCCCAGTTCTGTATGAATAAATAAAAATCTTAAAAAAACAAACAAAACAAAACAAAACTTGAACAAACCAATTACAAGCAAAGGAACTTGAAGAGTAATCAAACCCTCCACAGATGATTTCACAAATGAGTTATACCAAATAATCAAAGATCATTATCAAAGATTAACTTACAAAAACTCTGTTTAAAAAATTGATAATGAAGGAGTACTACCAAATACATTTACAAGGCCAACATCACACTAATACCAAAACCCAGCAAAGATAACACAAGGGAAAAAAAGAAAAACTACAGGCCAATCTCCCTAATGAAAACTGATACTAAATCCTTCATAAAACCTTAACAAAACAAATCTAATAATGCATTAAAAGAATTATACACTATGATTGTGGCAGACCTCTCCTGACCTGCCTGCTACTCCCCTCAGCAGTGTACTTCGTCGATCTGCCTGTTCTGCTCCCCACTCTGTCTCTGGTGAAGTCTTTTGCCACCCCTGAGTCTCTGGACTATACCCCAGTTCTGTATGCACAAATAAGTAAATCTTTAAAAAAAAAAAAAGAATTATACACCATGACAAATGGGATTAATTCTAGGGACACAGGAAATTGTTCAACATCCAAAAATCAAATAAATTGATTTACCACAGAAAATTAAGGGAAAAAAAAAACCCATATGATCATATCAGTAGATGCTGAAAAAGCATTTGATAAAGTTCAATGTCCATTTATGAGGGCCCTTAAAACTTTGGGATAAAAGGAGCATATCTTAACATAACAAAATTAATATATGACAAATGCACAGCTAACAATATTATCTGTGTTTAAAAACTGAAAGCCTTCACTTTGAGATATGGAATGAGACAAGGATATATACTCTAATACTGCTTTTCAATTTAATACTGGGAGTCCTAGCTAGAGCAATTACACAAGAGAAGACTTAAAAGGAATCCTAATGGCGAAAAAGAAGTAAACTATCAT